TGACAGATGAAAGCTGTAACAATAATCCTGGCTATGCGCAGACGCGTTTCAAGTTTGGTTGAACCTTAATTTGAGTAGCGTAAGTAACATACAAAATTAAATCGGAAACCGATAGATGAAAATACCAAACTCTGGAATTCACAAGGGAAGAATAGATACAATTATACCACTAGAAATCATGAATAGTCATTCTTCTGGTCGTTTCTCATCTTTGCTACTATCTTCAAGGCCTACTCTGGCTAGCCTGAAGTAGTAATCACAAATGAAACTGAAAAATGACGAAATCGTAACTTGGTTCCACATTTCTATCTGATTAACTACAACTTATATACAAATTTAGCTATCATCTACAGGTTATTTAATTAGTTAATGCAATCTAGCTTGTTTTCCGAGCCTGCCGAAAATATATATATATATATATACATATATATATATATATATATATATATATATATATATATATATATATATATTAAATTCAAGGTGGCATTGATCACGACTTCTTTGGTAATCACTCTGCACACTCAATATCAAATTGATTTCAATCACTAGCTAGGTTTGATTCGCTGACATATGACCTTGCATAGTTACGTTAGCTGGTTAACTCACTATAAACCAATCAACGAAGAGGAATTATTAGTCATAGTATTATGAAATCACTGATCCTGAATGAGGGAATGGAGATTTAAGAAGCTCTGACGGTAAGGATCCAACAATAAAAGTAAAGCATCCTCTGTTCGAGATTCCATCGTAACAATATTGTTAACTGTGATGCAGTTACATCCACTAAGAGGACTTCGGATAGGAAGAAATGTACGTCTAAGACTATAATTCTTGTAAATTCCCATCTGCAATGCCCAAATAATTTCAATCATACGCCATATAGAAGCAGTGGCAACTAATCAGTATGGCCCCATGAGGTGAATATTTCGGAGTAAACTAGACAACAAAGAGAAATAACAGTTTATCCTTATGTCGAAATATCAGCCTTGCAGAAGGAGAAGATACCCCAAACAGACAGTGCAGATTGAAAAGCTCTAACAAGTGTAGTAATACCTCTACGATTCAACATGTGGCCGCAACAGCATCATCACAGATATGCAGGAAGAGTCGTCTGACATTTATTCATACATTCAATTGATAAATCCGACAAAGAAGTAAAAACGCTTATCATTGATAGCAGAGCTAACCAATTATTATTATTATTATTAGTCCCTTGGGTTCCTAGTGGAACATAGGGCTTCAGTAGCACGCCTCCAGTGACCTCTGTTCTCTGAGATCTTTTGAACCTGGTCCCACGACAGCCCACAACCTCTCATTTCCTCCTCGCACGACCTCCTCCATGTCACCCTCGGACGTCCAACTCGTCGCTTCCCATGGGGATTCCACTCGAGGGCCTGACGCGTGATGTCCCCAGTCGGCCTTCTCAGTGCATGGCCAATCGATCTCCACTTCTTCCTGCATATTTGTTGGGTGATAGGTTCTTGGTTGGTTCGTTCCCAGAACTCCTTGTTGCTTATTCTTTCTGGCCATTTGATCTTCAGTAGCGAGCCGGCGTAAGCAGTTGTTGATGAATGTCTGTAGTGTATTGGAAGTGCCTTTCGTGACGCGCAAAGTCTCTGAGCCATACAAGAGCACTGACTTGACGTTGGTGTTGAAAATCCGTATCTTGTTCCACATGCTGAGTGCAGAAGATCTCCACACTGGTTTCAGGCTAATGAACGCCTGTCTTGCTTTTCCGATTCTGACTTTGACGTCCTCGTCCGTCCCGCCTGTAGTTGAAACAGTGCTTCCTAGATAAGTGAAGGAGGTTACCTCCTTCAAGTTTCTCCCGTTGATGGTGATTGGAGTTTGTTGTTGTTGGTGGTGGTGTTGGTGCGGTATTTTCATCACCTCTGTCTTCTCTATATTCACTTGAAGTCCCGTCTTCCTTCGCTGTCTCACCTCTTCTGTCAACTTGTTAGTTTTTGCCTGCAGATCTTCAAGTTTATTTGACATTAGGCATAAGTCATCGGCGAAATCCAAGTCTTCTAGGTTCTTTTCCGTCGTCCAGTGCATCCCCCTCTTCTCGCTGCCTACCGTTTGCTGCATGATCCAGTCCACCACAATAAGGAATATCATGGGGGATAGCAGGCAACCTTGTTTCACTCCTGTCTTCACTTCAAAGGCATCACTGAGCTTCCCATTGTGGATTACTTGGCATGTGGCATCTTCATATAGTTGTTGAATGAGGCGGATAAAGGTTTAGAGCTAACCAATGTCCATTCCCAATATTGATATTATTCCAGTGACGAGCTGTATCGAAGTATGATCATCCCAGCCCACGTGAACACATGAGCCGATTAATTCTGTGCAAACCAATCAATTATGGTATATAAAAAGTCGTTGTTCCACAATTTCACCCATTCAGAACGAGAGAAAACAACGGATGAGTAGAGTAGACTATGAGGATCCGAAAATTGAAGCGATGCATCTTCAGTTTGGGAGTCTGTCGAAACAAAATCTTTTATTGTAGGTGGATCAGGTACACTCATCTGACCATAACTAAACATAATGAAGTATGGTCTAAGATTCCAATAGTAGTCATTATCTTTTATGTTTATAAAAATTTAATCAATCACCGATTTTATCGATGTACCGTATCGTAAGGACATAAAACAATATAGAGCACAACCATATAAGTCGATCCTCTTGGTGTAAAGCAATCAATGATGGGTTAAACATATTCTTATTTCACTAGTTCAGAATTAGTAGATTTCACTGTTTGGAAGCATAAGAAAAATGGATCAGATAGTCGAAGTGATATCTCATCTACTAGAAATTCGGTCATAAAAACACCACTCAGAGAGATACAGAAATATCCTACTGACTCGTCTTACAAAGAAAAAAATATGCGTCCTGATTTCATTTCTAGACATTACCCATGACTATGGTCAAAACTATTCAAATCACGGGTTATGGGGTATAATGGCAGCCGAGTCAGCATAACAACATTATGCATTCATTTTGGTTCACATCAATCAATAATTAGGGGAAAAGTGCTAATGTGGAAATATCATTAGCGAAGAATGAGTGGAAATCAAAAAGAAGTAGAGTAAAGGGTAATAATTAGAAAATAAAAGTAATGCCTCCCAGCGTGACAATTAGTTGGAATAATATAACTCTGTGAAATGCAGGTTGATTCAGTTAACCAGTCATAGATTGAGCGAAATGAACTGATAGATCTCTTAGACCTCTACTATTTTTCCAAATGTCAAAACGATTTCAATCACTGGTTATGTGTAGGTACATAAATACATAAACTGATAAATTGGAAACTAACCAATCAAATCTCTACGTCTAGACATCACTGATGCTGAACCAGTAGATATCGCATATGAATAGCGTAGAACGTCAGTATAAGATAAATGAAGCCGGAAAAACAATTAATGAGACACAGCTTGATCAAACTGACTAGTTGCAAATGAAACGAAACAGACACTCCTATGACATTGACAACCACTGTTATTCTTGAGCACTGAAACCAATTCAATGAATTGCTGTATCGATGCGTCGTCCTACCGTTTCACTGGAGATTCAGTCCCTAACAAATAACATCAAAAGTGGATATCAGTCCAGTGGTCATTACTGACACTCTTTGAAAAGGGTTTCCCGAAGTCCCAATGAGAGGCCGTGACCTGTGGGACCAAACAAGTTAGGCATGAGGAGAAATTCTCATTGACAGGATTGGATGATGGTCGCGATATATCGCTAAATGGTAGACGTAGGGAAATGTGAACCGTTATATTCCAACCTAGGGTCGGAATGATAAGATACTCGTTGCAAGACCTAGCAGTTCTGTTCTATTTTTCTGGGGTGGGGTTCATGGGTGTCCTATACTAGGACGGAACGGCTTTGTATTGCTCCTAGGTTTTCAGTGAATCTCTAATTGATGCCAGTCCTTGGTGTGTACCACCATAAAATCCAAATTCCTTTCTCTTTGACCCGTTTGGACGTTGGTGTCTCAGAGCTATATGAACGCGAATAATTAGATGCATGAAATTAGGGGATACTGTCTGCTTGATTCATAAGTATTAACCTATGGCGATAAATTCGTATTCGACCATAGAAAGGCTGTATTTCTACACCTAATTAGTCCCATAAAACAATTTTTCCCCATTATTTCCGATTGGTTGTTTGTTTACGAGTGAAGAAGCCTATTGCTGAAAACGTGCTACTGGAAGAGTGTTCAGAAAGAGAAAGCCTGGATTTATTATTAAGGTAAATGGTAGTGAAAGATACCTTTGAAAAGCTTAACCCATTTTGGTATTACCTGAAAATAACTGGCATATTAACGTGCATATATGCATGCTTATGCACTTTGACGACTTCTTGACAAGTGGTTAAGTTACCTGCAGTTTCATTCATGATAAAAGGGGATGAACTTGCATCTTACTTACATCTTGGACAATTGAAATAGTGGGACAACTAGGTATTTGATTCCAGCAAGCTATTAACATTCAAAATACAACCAGTACACTTGTTTTACTATCATCAGAGCTTGTAGGTCACCATGAAAGACTGAATGTTATCATCATCACTAAATTTTAATTACTGATCAATATTCAAAACCCGAAGAAGGAAAATTTTAACATCCGAAAAGTGCAAGGCCAAAAGGCTAAGCAAAAGAGACTTGTATGAATGCATATGAGAAGATTCTTATGATTACCAATCCTTAAACTCTACTGATGATGATGAGCACATCGAAGGTTATGCTCCACAGAAAAACCAGCCCAGATAATTTTTCTACCTCAGCAGCTATACTTTTTGATGTTCAGTAAAGCAAAGTTTTCATTTCCGCCTAAACTGTCAGAATACTGTTGCGTTTTGCCAGTTTAACTTGTATGTTCCGAAGCATTCAATTTGTACATTAAATATTGTAAAAAAAAATATAATCCTTTTACTGAATTTCTGCGTGATCTTATGGTATGACTTTTATTCCACTTTTTTCAATTTTCAAGGTGCTAGACATTTCACGAGTGGACACGCGTCATTCTGGAATATTTCTGTGCAAAGCTGAAACTAACAATCCAACCTGGTTGCCTCAGGATTCTGAGTATGATCCACGGTTATATGAAAGTGGGGTTGTAAATTCACCATTCTTGATACAAATTCAAGCTATCCGTGGTATAGTATATTCGCGTCCACGTTTACTGCCTGGAAGTCCAATGGAGGTTTTCACACCGTCTGATTCAGATGAGTCACAGTTGGTACGCCCGTATAAACATTTTGTAACCAAACGTCAAGTTGAACAGAATTCGAATATTGTTCAGAGTTCACCAAACTACTTGCAGAGAGTTTTACCTTTATGGAGTGTAAACGACAAGGCAAAAGATAATCCCAGTACGCTGAGTGCAAAAAACATAGTTCAAGAAGGTGGAAAGCTTATTTTAGAATGTCAAGCTCGTGGAAGACCTACTCCTCAAATATTGTGGTATAGAGGTGGCATGGGCTCTTCAATAACATCCACTTCCCAAGCTATTACTTTTGACCAGCGGATCAGGTCAGCTTTACAGCATTTACCTTTGGAAGATGTGCAAAGAGAACTAGGAATCCTTATAGCGGATTTTGACCATCTATTTCCTGCAGTAATGAACTTGGAAAATTTATCAAACGGAGCTATTTATAAAGCACCAGACAACTTTGGAAATGCTCACAGGAAAGGAATCCAGAACTATGAATTAGGCCGTTTTCAGTTGTCTACTGGTCTTCGAAAAGACGACAAAGGGGATCCAGTCATAGCAATGTCACGACTAACGATTAATAAGTTAATGCCATCAGATGCCACTCGTTATACTTGTCTTGCTCTTTTGAACCTGAACAAATATGGTGGAGTTGGAAATTTTACAGATGTTGGAAGGTAGGTTCAGTTTACGTAAGTTCACTTTAAGTTGCCAAACCTCTGAGCCTTTAATGAACTATTATTTTCAGGATAAACTACGGAGGAAAGAGAGTTTGGACTCATATATATATATATATATATATATATATATATATATATATATATATATATATATATATATATATATCTGGATGATTTCATGAAGTATCCATCGTGATGGAAGCGTTTTTCCATTTTTCTAAATAAACGCTTTAAGGGTTATTTTGACTGACCTACCTTCTATTCACAAAGTTCAATTCTAATCATTTTCTATGCGTATATGTACTTTAAGCGTGTTCAAATATTGTCTTTCACATTGTAATTGGCTGCTACTTTGATAAGCATGTAAAATGTGTCTTGTTGTATTACTATTGTCCAGCACTTTACCAGCCTTTCATACCCAACTATTTTGTACCTTAACTAAGTTTAAGTACTGATAAAAAAAGACAAATTAGAGGACACATTGTGTGGCAAAAAAGTATTGGTTAGTTAGAGATAACGAGATTATATTAGGGGAAGAATGTTAATTTATTTGTTTATTAATGGCTAAGCTGGGGACTCTGGGCTAGTTGCTGCAGAGCAACACAATGAAGTCGCAAAAAGTAGAGAATGTCAACGGCAGATCCCTATAAGCTAAAACAAATTTAGAGAACTAAAGCCACTTGTCGACGCGATAAAGGATTATTTAGCTATTATTAAGATATTTTAAATGTTTATTTTTATTTTTAAGCCCAGCATTACGTTGATGCGAAGAAGATACACTACAAGCACTTTGATAAGGCATCTTCGTGACGCTTTTTAACAGCTATCTGTGGATATATCCTTAGATTTTCTCTTCTTTTTAGTTACTTTATACCACTATCAGCCTTTGCCACATTTAAAAATATTGTCAAATTTCCTTCCTAGAAAACTACTGTTGTAGGCAAGGATCTAATTTGCATCGTCTGTATTGAATCACCTTCATTTTCCATCTTCATGATTAATAGACCTAGAAATGCTACATTTTATTAAAAAAAGTGACTATAGGTTACAGCAGTATGTTTGGTGATCACAAAAATGTCACCAGAAAGCGAATAGAGAAGAGTAAAATTGTGAATCATCTCTGCCCCATTTAAAAATTCAGAAGTGGTTACCCTATAAATCCTGATGACTGATTTTTCGACTTCCGTTTCTGTTGAAGTTATGCGTAAAACGATGGTTAGACAAACGTTACAGACTGAGATTCAGAGAGCAATGAAACTGCAATAATATTAATTTTTTGGTAAAGCAGGTGACGACAGAACCGACAGACCTCTTTTTTATTAACTTTAATCCCAGTAATTACTCGAACAGTGTAACAGCTATTAAAACAGCTATGGCAGTCAATTATAAAAGTATGAAGCCAGGGTACTATGTCAGTAACAGTAGCGCATATCTATATTTTTATTTATACATAATTAACATCTAGAAACTGATTAAGGATAACTGTCAAAAGGAATGTTATATAGGCCTACAGCATCCTGTCAGTTGCTTTAAGCCAACTGAAAATTATGAATATTTCGTCTGATATCCTCTTCGGACACATATAAGGACATATTTCTCACTGTCAAAATGCAAATCACTGCTCCAGTACTGGTTTGCGTTAGTTTCTCATCTAACAATAGGAAGTGAAGTGTTTGAATGCGTTGACCAACTCACTTACTTGGGAGATCAGATTGGTCTCTGCCAACTCGCACCAGCTATAGCACCACCGTAATATTCAATCATTCAGAAACAGTCGAATATACTGCGCTGCAGTTCGTTCTTTTCAGTAACATGGCTGGGAAACATGGCCAATAAAAGTGGAAGACAAGAGAAAGCTTCAGATGTTCGACCGCTGGTACCGCAGTAACATAAGGCATGTGTCATACTGTCACTAAGTCAATCAGGTGGAAGTTAGACGTAGAGTTTTAGGTAGAAAGAAGGAAGTGAGTTAATAAAGTTGGGAACTTCTGCTGACTGATGCGACTAGAACGTGTGCTACGCATGCCCTGTCACCGTCTGCCCTATCATGCAACATAAGTTGAAGTTTGTTAAGACTGGAAACAGATTAAATGTGAGCAGACTGAAAAGCGGTATCAGTCCTTGAAGTCACAGACTGTTGGTGTGAGACATGTTGGGAAATGCAGACTTGCGGTTAGAGTCTACGTGAAATCCAAAATTGATGGTTGGGGATTCTAGATCATCTGGGTTAGAATCGCTCTCAGCAGTATAGATGTAGCCACACGTTACCTTCATCTTAATTTTCATATCATACTTCACTATTTGTCTTTCTCTCTACGACTGTTCTCATGAATTTCTAGCGCTTATGATTACTTTTTTCCCGATTTCTGTACCTTTCATCTGGATGCCTGTATCTTGATGTGCTGTAACAGGTGCCGTAACAGGAGCCGTTACGCATGATATCAGGTCTCACGTTTATGCCTACTGACTGACTTAACTTTCACATAACAGCTGAAATTCATTATTCCCTCTTGTTTTAGAACTACCTCGTTTTGATTTTTTGTAGTATTCTTCCCAATGTCGTTCTCAAACCACGATTTGTTCGCTCAGGAACGCACCTCAGAGCTAATGGATATCCTGGAGAAAATTGCAGCTTAACTTGTGAAGCATATGGTGGCCTTCCAAATGAAATGGGATTACGTGTCAGACTTCTTAAAGGTCCAGGTGTTAAGAAACTCATTTCTTATATATCTCAGTCCATGTATATGGACAATAAGGATCCTGATCTCAAATCACAGTATGATCTTGCTGACTATCAATCAGGATATTCTTCATATCATAAAAATCATAATCAGTATAAATTACTTAGCAAAAACAGTGATTTATCTGATTCATCTCCTGATTCACTGTACACAAATTCTTTACGTAGAAAAACTGAAAATGTGGGACCAAACAGTAATGATTATATAGAAATTGTTAAACCAGGTATGAATCCTCGCTATCATTTGGGTGTTGAGGCGGATCCAAGAAATCCGTATGCAACAATTCTACGTTTAGATATTACAGGTGAGTCTTTACTTACATACACACTCTGTATTTATGCCATTTGTTAATACGTGATTTTCAGATTGTGAATCATTACATTCGAATTATTGTTGGGAATTGTTAATCTGGCAATTTTCCGTTGTTTTCTGAAATATCCTTCCATATTCCTGAACAAGTATGGAAATGTATCGACTCTATGATCATATTATATTTTAAGCTTCTGCTGTATAGGGATGTAGCGTTGTTGCGTTATACAAATTTTGTATAACGTTAGCTAGTGTAATAGTTCATAACTACATTATCCACTTAGATCAAGAACTAGTCTAATGTACAAAATCAAAATAAGCGGTATTCCATTCATTAGCTTTAATGGTTATCTCCTTTCATGCTTCCTTACGAAGCACTTTACTGTTCGTATCATGTCTTCTGTTTGTATTTCTCCCAACATAAGGAGTCTGTCAACTCAAATTATTCTAAGCTATTGCTATATAACTTATATAGGTTTTAAATTAGGAAATCGTAAACTTGTCATCTCATTTGTACTGATTCAATATGAGTGATTATACTGTAAGGTAATGGTAATATGCTTGCAATCAGTGACACTCATAGCAATGGTCGCATGGGTTGTTGAATAAGATTCTTGCGTCTTTACTTCAAGTCTTTCATTCCTATGTGTAAAATATCTCAATGAGATTAAATATGTTAACTTAAAAGCATCAGCTTACAGAAATTAATACGATGAGTAATTCCTGATGAAAAATATGCCTGAATCTGACCAAGAAGCTGCATAAATTTGCTTAGCTCCTTAAATTCAGGATGAGTAGCTTATTTCATAACTTCAAAGCAAAATCCTTATCAGATTCTACAACTGAAGACTGATTTTGCTTGCATCACAATCTAATTAACAGTAAACGAGAAAGAATAAGTATAAAGAAACCTAAAACATCAACAGATCTTTTTTCTCTGTTTAATATTGCAAATCATTAACAATTTACTATGATCAATCGGGTTTTTACAAACTTCTCAGTCCATGGGTAGAATGAAACCATCACATTAAACAGATTTGAAGTTTAATCGTAGGTTCCTTCCGAAATCCAACTATTCAGGTCATAATATATGATGCGCTTAACGCCGAAATTCACTTCCAGAATTTGAGCATAAAAGCTGTACGATACGGTTTCATTAGTTGTAGATGGCTTTCATTGATTTTCAGTACTCATAATCACCATCAAAGTGATCTTAAACACCGAATGACTTACCTAATCAGTCGTGTTTTCCGATTTCTTCATTTCATACAACAGAATCTTTCAAAGCCCTCAAACTCTCACCACCGTCATTGAACTGATAAATATGTAGCTTACAAGCACCTGCTTCTGGTCTTTGTATCACTAGTCCAGTGAAGTAGTTTTCTAGAGCCTTGATGGTTTGACTCATTCATCTGTCTAGGCTGAATCACTTTGTTTATTGATCTTTTCCTCTAAGTAAAAAAATAACCAGCGAAAATTTCCGATTGTACATGTAACTACCATGTGAGTAATTCTTTTGTTTCCTCTGAAAAAAACTCAGAACCATCCTGATGAGGATCAGTTAAGTGGAACAAATGTCCACCATTTCGATCACTTTTATCTGACTGGCTAACATTGCCGGTTTTTATGTGATATGTCTATGTCTATCAGAAGTATATGTGTTCTAGATAAGCATGATCAGAGTTTTTCAGGCTCTGAATTTTTTTTATATTTACTAAGGCAATGGATGAAAACCAATTATTCCAGTAAAGTAATCTATATTTCAAAAAATTAGGTTTTGCGAATTGACCCCCCTCAGAAGTTAAATTCATTTAATTTAATTTCCAATCATTTCTGTGAATCATTTTCAACACTGATGGCTTACATACATGTACGGGTTTTCTTTTCTTTGTCAAAAAAAAGAAAGAATTAGATCCAATCACCGTCTTGTGGTAAAAGAAATATTTATTATTCATGAAGAAATGAATATAAAATTGGGTTTCAAACAGTCATTCATCTACCAAGACAAAAGTATACACATCGCTAACTTTAGAGTAACTTTCACACCTATCATCTTGTTTCCAGGTCCTCAAATCATGTATGTGATTGTTTTTAATCTAATTATATCACTTAGATTATCTAGCAACAGATGATTGCCAAACGGGGCTTTCTTTTGATTGATACATTTTACAGTAAGCTTTATAAGCCTCAGTTTCATTTTTTTCAATCACCTAAATAATATAAACATTATTTCTCTAATCAGCATAAATGCGCGTCTGAAAATTGTAGGTAAACACATAATCTGGCTTCAGATGTAATAAAAATGATTTTAAAAGATATATATGGTGAGTTGTTTCACTGAGTTTTACCGATAAATTGTAAAATTAATGACAAAAATTCAAACTAGAAAATCCAATCCCCACAGTAGTTATTTAAATGTTAGCTAATTGCGGATGTGAGTTCTCAGCAACTCTTGCAACAATTAACATGTAGCTTATGATAGAAAATAGACTTATTTTTACAGGAAAAACATTAGTGTTCTACTAATATCTTTCCTTCGACATATTGAGAATATATAATTTTCCACATTGAATTGTCTGATCATAAACTGTAAGCAGCATAAGCAATATATCTGAAACTAAGAAGAATAATTTACTGAGATCTCAAATACTTACTACTTTGTTTGCTCTGAAATAGGTGCAGTTACAGTGTAACGACCAGGTGTTGATGGGTTTTCGTCTAGCCTGGAGGTGAGTAAGTTGTTGTATGGAGGCGCGACAAAGAGAGTGAGTGTAGTGGTAACCATATGGAAGGGAAAAGAGAAGGAGAATAACGTGAGCCAACGACTCAGTAAGTACTTATTCATAATACCTACACTCAAGATCTTGATTAGTAGTGAGTTATAGAGTAGTTAAAAAATACAATTATTTTTGCAGAAAGCCGTGGAAATGATAATCTGTATTATTTCATTGCTGCATTATTCCAGTTTATGGCTTTTGCCCATAATTAAATTTGTACAACTTCCTTACTAGTACTACTTGTCAATCTACTGATAACGGAATCCTTTAATTCAACCCAACGACTATATCATCAACATGATGGCGATTACATTAAATGTCATGTGTGCCTAGTTTGTTGAGGATTGTCATAAAGGTAACAAATCCCTTGGAGTTTTTATGCCTTTAGTCACAATTATCAAGCGTTGGTTGGTGGGACAGGAGAAACTTGTCTTTGGCAATCAAATTACAGTAGAGTGGTATCCGTTACTTAACAGGTATGTAAAGACACTTCAGTACAATTTTGACCTCCTAAATTTTAATTCGTATCGTGCCAGCAACCGCCTACGCATCTGACACATTAAACTAGAAATGTGAATTTCTTAAAATTATGTGCATTGTATGTGTTTTTATACTATCTAGATTTGTCACCGGAAGATAATTCATTTTATTTGTGTGAGGCACTCTCTGGACCGCATGGCGAGCGATCACTCCTACTTCGACGGAACCTCCTGGGAGAGTAACAGTTTGGTTTGCTCCTCCAGTAGCAGAACCTCGTCGAGTTAACGAAGTATCAGAGCAATTAGGTGGCAACGAAAATACCATGCAAAATGAAACACCCTTCAAGCCAGGTGAAGATGTTGTCTATGGTTTATCTCACTTACCGTCAAAGATAGCGTGTCAAGCGCTAGGGCAGCCAACTCCCCAATGGAAGTGGGTGGGGCCACAAAGTGGACCAAATGTACCACTAGGTGAACCGAATGATTCCAAAGGGTATGTATAAATCCTTTTTATAATCAGTAGTTTCATCGGCTGGGTTATTTTGATTAGTGAGGATTGTTTTATTTTATTGTAGTTTTAAGAACTGGATTGATATGATGAACAGCACTTTTGTTTATTTCATCTACCTATTTGAAATGTATGTGGAATTTTGTTAAATTCAGTTTTCAATGAACGATAACATTTGTAAAGTTGAGGCGATCGATTAGCTAAATATAATTTAAAATAACTTGAAGATGATGAAGTAGTTTTTATCTTCCTAAGAACAGCAGACGACTGCACTAACAATCCACATTTTACCTATACGGATATCAAAAACTAAAGATCCATATGTGACTGGTAAGTGTGGGGGTGTTTTTCAGAAAAAAACATTGCCTTAAATGTTTTTAGAATAACTATGGTGACCAAAGCACATGCAATATAGATGATAATGGTGATAAGAACTAAGAAAGCAGCATTAAAATGTAGACACTTCGATAATAAAAGTGGGTCAAATGCTTGGAAAATAAGAGTTGCATAATACTGAAGGAAGAGGTAAGTGGATTAACAAAGTCTAAACAAATACAGTAAGTAAAACATTTATCACATTAACCGACAAATTTACATGATTTTTTATATATTAAGCTATTTATATTAAATATTTTGTTTCATATCAAAACACTACAAAACTAGTCAGTAGTATCTCACCGAAAATGCCACTTTAATCAATTGAGTTCATTCTACAATACATGCCTAAATGAAACAATTTACAAAATCAAGGATTTCTTGTCTCATTTTTTAATGATCTAAAATGTTTATTTCCACTTCAATAACCATACGTTGGCAAAATTTTAGAAAACGATGTGAAGTAAACATAACTACCTATGGATTAGACTTTATACATATTAATGCGTTTACTATGCTTTAGGAAAGTAAATTATTTTTGTCACTGTAGGTGGAACTTTGAAATAATTGAATATGCTTAAACATGTATTTAGGTACTTACTAAATATCCTTCTCAAAGTTATTGTAAATTTGTACGCCATATCACAGCGAAGAACAGAATATTATGGAAATGTTTGCTTAGGTTTATATTATGTATATGCCTTACATTTATAGGCCTGTGGCTTTTTAAATACTAATTTACACCCAGTATTACAATGAGCGTCATTATGAAGTGCTCTGTTAAATGGTAATAGGTGCTACAGTGTGATCACCGTGAAAAAGCGAGAGGAAATGGCTAAATGAATGTATGCAGACCATAAAAGCCTCTTTGAGTATGCTCACCGGAAAATGCAGCAAAAACATTTCAAAAAACCTGAAACCCATAGTATTAGTTTTTTAGTGTTCATCAACCTCTATATAACATAAAAGTTCAAATGACAGAGATTTGAAGATATGTATTAGAGACAAGCAATATTCTAATTCATTGTCTATACCTTAAAATATCACATATTTCATAATCAAAACTCAAATGTACACCTAGTTATCTTTTTTTTGAATTACTTCCACTGAATTAATTAGAAACCCAGTTGAAAAGTTAGAGTGCATAAAAATCTTTGTTATATTTTCATTGTCAAATTGCTGAGTACAGAGATACCAGTAAGTAATAGGGTTACTTCAGATACCAACAATTGATGAATGATGTGTTGAGCTTTCTTACTGACTAGCCATCTCTAAGGCCTAATCATCTTTCACATATGAAGGTAATTAGATCGTTAAGTAATACATCAGGAAGTATTACAAGTTAGTTACTAATGGATGGTTTGTAAACATTTTGAACACTGCAGAAATTTCTACAGATACATATACAACAGGATATATTGCCATCTCAATGTCCATCTTTTAGTAGAGAGAAAGTGAGAATATTATTTCTAAATACAGGTGTCAACATCAAAATACGCCTGTTGAAGGGAATCCTCCTATATTAGTCGTCATTTGTTTATCACTATTCTCTTTATGTTGCTTTTCGGTTCAAGAGAATCAGGCAGTGAGTGAAATTATTTTTACTGGACGACACACTGATATTGATCCAATAGCTGTAGGTAAGAAGTATGCATGGAAAAAGTGTTAAAGATGTTTTTTTTGTAAAAATCTTGGAGGTGTCTGCTATGGTAAACACCTGTTTCACTACAATTCTCCGAATAGAGTTTAAAAACATAGAGGGTAGACAAAATATATCCATCGTCTGAAAAGTGTCTAATAATCAAATTATAATCTCCTTAATTCCAAACATGAAGCACCTTTCGTTTGAACAAGCTACTAACTTATCACCAAATCTTTTGAAAAAGACTCCAGTGGATAACATTACTTACATAAGTTAATTACATCACCTTTCTAAGCAATGGATGACTGCTATATGGATTTACCGGTATTGTTACATCAATTCTCATCTCATAAGGCTTAGAAAGAAACTCAGATTTCTTTGACAGACCAAAACTGAAGTATTTTTTGATGACTTATTCATCCATGAAGTGAGGTAATTTCAATTATATACATCTTTTGCAACTAACACTGTGAGCTGAATTTAACAAAGATACACTTTTAACTTCAGTTACGTCAAAACAGACTATGAGGATGGAGAATATTCTGTCAGTGAATTAACTATTCCAGCTGGCTACTGGAATGTTGGTGTATTCGGCACATATACGTGTACTGCATCCAATAGACTTGGTCAAGCTACAGGACATGTTCGACTTCAACTGGCTAGTCACCCTGGCCGACCCACATTAAGAGCCTGTAAGGTGAGTTAAATACCTAAAATATATGTAAAATATGGCATGAATAATGCTTTCAGCATTTGACGCTAATGGTTCTATATTCATTTTGATTATCATTTGACTATCTGAGATAGCCATAGTTTGGCAGACTAGTATCTATACTGGGTGATGATTGAATGTGAGATGTATATCTGGACCGCGGTCGGATTCAAACCAGAGGCCACCAGATGGTCCAAATTTTCATCTCAATCATCACCCAGTATATATTCATTTTGGTTTCTCTGTGCCGAAAAAGAATAAAATCAAGAACTTATGTGATAGAAACGGATGCCAGTTACATGTTTGATTTTGGCTACTATACTACATGATGGCCATTGGGAATAAGTAAAAGTAGCCAACAAGTATTTTCTTATAGATGTCATCACTCATTAGCTCTATGAGGTCACATAGTACTGCTCACTATCGACAGAAATTTGGTTTTTAATATTTAGAGAATAAAATATGAAGGTAGATGTGATATAGCGACCCATATCACTTTGAAATACGGCTTAGAACTCCTCGTACAAATCAGTGACGTGATCATCAATCTTTTGAGGATGGTTAAGTATATTTCAGACTATTTTGATTGCTATTTTAACTATAACTATTGATGTCGTGGGTGCTTCTTGCTGGGATTCATACTAGGATGAAAAAGTTGTCCAGTGCTCAAATGTTTTCAATGGTTCCCTAAACGATGTCAATCCTTAATGAATACTATCTTAAAATCAATGTATCTGCACAAACCTCCAAAATGAATTACTATGTAGTGCTTATTCATGACACGCAATTGGAAAGCAAACTATTTAGATCATCTTGAGTGACTTGACAAATCAACATAACCATAGAACGATAAAAAGCAGCTAAGTTGACCAGATAATTTGAATTAAAAACAGCATATTCTCGTGATAATTTGAGAAACTTTTCAATTGGAAGCCCTGTTGATTTCATTTCAGGGTTTCAATATCAGACTCAGTACTCACTTGTAATAATTCTTTATAGTTATTCACATGAATAATAAATAAGTGGATTTCGTTCATCTAGTTTAGTGAAATGACATGCTGCTAACAAACTCAAAGACTGAAAAACCGCTGAGACATTGATTTTTGTTATGAACTTAGATCTTTTATTTATGGGCTAATTTAAACATCAATAGCCACATTTAGTACTAATTGCAGTACACAGAAGACACCATTATCGCCATTTGAAGCCAATTCTTGATAAACATCAACAGAAGGACAGGAGGTCTTTCTTCAGAGTGTTTATATGATTGAAACTACCATGATCATGAAATATGTTAGTGGTTTCCGGACCAAAGCTGAAAGAAATCGAGTGTTTCGTAGGGATTCCAGTCTGAAAACCTGTTCATGCATAAACATAAAAATATAGTGAGATGCATTTCAGAAATAAATAACTTTCAAAAAAAGAAACATTACTCATCGACATGTTTGTGCATTTGGCTATGAACCACAATTAATAGGACAGTATTTGTAACACTAACCAGTTGCAAAAGCCAAAGTAAGTGAAGCAGCACCTCAACCCAGGACAAATTGCTTGAAAGTTAATTACTTCAGCCGATGAGCCATTGCAGACAATCTCAAAATGATATCTCCATCGGTCAATAAAATATGTAATTTAGTGGATGACGTTTCCAAGGAAACTGAAACAAACAATCACCGAATTTCGACACAGTCACTACATTAAAAACGTAGAAAAGTTAGTGTACTGGTTAACAAAAAAAATTAAAAACCTGAACATTTCGGTTCACTCTGACATAACAAAACTGAAGACAAGTCGGAAGAACGTAACAGTCTTTGAAAGCATCTCTGAAAAGGATTTCAGGTAAGCTCACTATCGACTTACCGTGGTGACAGACTAAAAAACTTTAAAAAGACAGTACATATCAAACATGTACGAATAGCGGTCAAATAAAAATATTTCACATAATACACGACAGCAGAGATTGCTGTAACATTTTACCTCAACCGTCCAAACACTACTTTATACATCTCAACTTTCATTTACACTAATATGGGATAGTTTTCTCAACAACAACACAAACAAAACGTTTACGCATCGAATCATATCGAATGCACAAAAAACTAATTACAAGTTCACTGACCCACTTATCACTGGGAAAATATCTCAGTTGGGAATAACTAACCATGACGCATAGTTTACATTGAATATAAATACACAGACAAACATCACATCTCTATCCGTACTGTTTAATTACCTACGATAGTCATAACCAGTACATAGGCTTCTGATCAATTCACTCTACCAAAAATCAGTGCTGTGTAACGTATCCGAAAGTGACTGGTTCGCAAAGAAAGGAAGAGAAGAAGAGTGTTGATGAACACAATGCTGGTTTGGTGAGTGTATCATAATTGTAACACATGTGACAGCCTTTCTGTCATAGGTTTTACGAGACATCTTACCTACCAGTGTAGCTGGCTATCATTCCTCTGCATTTGGACAGGCATATACACATACATACGCACCTTAAAGCCTAAACTAAGAAATCACGTGTCAGAACATATCTAAATCAGAATTGATCTTGACCGTGTGTTGTGCTTTACTTCAATATTTCACGTTTCTATTTAGTGTCTAGCTGCTGAGGCATATTACGTGTTTACCAGTGTCTATCATTGCTGTAATCTTTTATTGTATAATTTGTCAACAAGAAGCTGTGAATAAAATTGAATTCCCTTCATTCTGAGAATTATTTTTCTCCTTTCATTCGAATTTCCTGCAATTCCTGAAGACTAAAATGTAATCAGATTGACGGAACAATATAAATTTATTTGTTCCGAATCATAATAATAATAACTTCATTTCAAACAATTGTGATACAATTTGGAATTCTAAGAACCGAATATTCACTTGAATTGCTTACATTTCGAAACAGAATTATAGAAATGCGTATGCCAATATTGGCTAATTGATTTGAAGTTTGTGATAATAAATCCTGTGTTGAAATGTCACTTAGAACACCAACATCCGTTTAGATACGAATACATTCAGTTGATGCATCTCTAATAGAATTGTAAGCCTGCCCAAGGTTTCAGAATCGAGCATTACTTCCATCATTATCAGTTGTATATGCCAGTACTGACAGAAATAGAACATTATGTATGTGTCACAAAAGAAAAAAGACTCCAATGAACAAATTCGTTTTCAGCAATATCATCCTCAGAAACTGTGCAACCACATTAGAGTACGCATAATATACACATTTAGTGGTCAGTTTATTATCAACCATTAAATCCTAGTGGGTTGAGTTTAGGAAAATAATATAGGAATAGAATTTCCGTAAGAAACATTAAAATATTTGACAGCGGAAATAACCGAAAGTGAATTATAATCAAGAATTGGAGAATAGGTTACAAAGTGAGTAAACATTTGTCAGTGTGTAACGGAAAAATAACGGCAGGTAACCCGAAAAGCTTGGTTAGTCTTAAGAAATGTAAAATTCAAAAATTAAGAAGTGAATGAGGATAACGAATAGAAAGACTACTTCTGAATAAACACTTCTGGTTTCAGTTTTTTATTACCAGCGCTTCAGCCACTCAAATTAAGTATTTCCTGACACCCTTCATAAAAATTGCTTTATATTTTGTAGACTAATGCAAACGAATTTGCTGAAACTGTCTGCTGTTACATAAATCTTGCCTGGTAGGGTTATTGATCGGATTAAGGTGATATTTAATGAGCCATGCTGAAATGTGTTGACGTCGATGTTGGGTAATCTGTGTCTGATTCCCTTCTGTATATGTAGTTCCAAAGGAGCAGCAGAATGGATATATGCATATGGAAGTGGTTAGCCGTCAATTTTAGAAGATTAATTTCGTCTCCTAAAAAGTCAAGAGTGCGAATCCCGAGATTCAAAGAAAGGGGAATGGATTAAATGTTGTTTTTAGGAACCCAGGAGTAAATTTTTCTCATTTCTCGATTGGATACAGATTTTCAACAGTTACAATTTTTAAATGTCCCAGTGTCCCTTCTTTAAACAAGAAGAAATCTACATGTAATGAATGAGTGGGAAACTTCACTGCTTGGTTCCCATGATCCGAAAAATTGAGAAATGTCAGCTTATATGCAGAGGAATGATAGCCAGCTACACTGGTAGGTAAGATGTCTCGTAAAACCTATGACAGAAAGGCTGTCACATGTGTTACAATTATGATACACTCACCAAACCAGCATTGTGTTCATCAACACTCTTCTTCTCTTCCTTTCTTTGCGAACCAGTCACTTTCGGATACGTTACACAGCACTGATTTTTGGTAGAGTGAATTGATCAGAAGCCTATGTACTGGTTATGACTATCGTAGGTAATTAAACAGTACGGATAGAGATGTGATGTTTGTCTGTGTATTTATATTCAATGTAAACTATGCGTCATGGTTAGTTATTCCCAACTGAGATATTTTCCCAGTGATAAGTGGGTCAGTGAACTTGTAATTAGTTTTTTGTGCATTCGATATGATTCGATGCGTAAACGTTTTGTTTGTGTTGTTGTTGAGAAAACTATCCCATATTAGTGTAAATGAAAGTTGAGATGTATAAAGTAGTGTTTGGACGGTTGAGGTAAAATGTTACAGCAATCTCTGTTTGTTGAAGCTATATTAACACTGCATTGTCATATATTTCAGTAATGGTTTTGAAATCGTGGGAATTGTATGTCTTTTTTCAAACAAATGAATTCTCGATAAAATGATCAGTACTGTTAACTTGTTTCGCTTTTGAACTCTGATACAAAGCTGATAGCATCAGTATGATCAACTAGGTCACTGGTGGAAAGGGACTTCAAAGAGTGGCTTCTATAGACTTTTAGCAGAATAATAATGGATTCTCTCATTTTGTGTTAAAAAAATTTTTGACTTTCATATTGATTTGAGCTATTCGCAATGTAGTTGATGATATTTTCGCACTTTGAAGTCAGCATAATTTGTAAGATGACAAACCCACTTCCTTCCTCTGTGTAATATGAATACGATAACTCTTGAAAATTCTTCTGGGTTTGTCTTCTACTTGGAAGATAAAATTATAAAACATACCTCACCTGAATTCTTCTGTATCGTTGATTCTGGAGGGTATATAACGGTTGCATACGGCTGTTTAGAATAACCTACATAAAACGATATGTTAACACAGTTTCGTACTAACTGCATTCATTCAAATTATAATTATAATTTTTTTCGCTGTTACTTTTAAACTGATGCTAGTAGATATGTATGACAAAATGTTTTCCTATAATATTTCCACTAGGTTGAAGCAACTTTAATTGAGCTGTGTGTTGAACCACCGAATGAAACTGGTGGTTTACCGTTAACTCATTATGAATTGAGGATTCAAACTCATCCACGTGGTGCTTTTCATGGGCCTTTCGCCTACCTTCCTGGTCGCAGAGTACTAAGGTTACCAAATCTTATTCCAGGTTATTATTACCGATTTGCATTATCAGCTGTCTCAAGCGCAGGAAGAGGACCGAATGCATATTTACAGGTATGTCATGAATCCTGACTGGAGGTTATTATTCACTTGTAAGATAATTTTTTTGATAAAATACTTCATTTAGTAGTAGACTGTCAGAAACCAGTACTTTTGCATGTTTCATGTAAATTAAAGTCATCAAAACACTGCTAAGACCAATATCCGTGTTCCACTCGAACTTCACACAGATTGTGTGTAAATGAAGTATCTGTAGTGATTAGTCTTCATATTCTTCAATGGGGTCTGCCTATAACTTAAGTTTCTAAGTGTCAGAGTATATCACTGGCACCTTTTTATGCTAACTATACTTCTCGACGGATTTCGATGTATGAACAAATATCCATTATTATCTTTTGCTGTTGTCATTGATTTACTCAACTTTCGATTGTCGCAGTTACTCATGATGACTCCGTAATCTCTATTTCAACATACATTTAGGTTTTATTTGCTCATCATCGTGCTCAAAGTTATATGAGAGACTTTACTATAGAAAATTGGATTTAGATGAATTTCATAAGATCAGTTTACCTTTCACGATATTCTGAAGAGTAATTACACTTCTTTACACTGTTTTCACAGCAGAATAAGCAGAACACTAGACTTTATCGGTTGAAATCATTGATATTTTACACTAACTGCCTGGCCATATCCTCCTCAAATACACCCTAATTATGTTTAAAGCTGCTTTCTGAATACTCATACTGAAGCAAGGGTAAAGTGAGTTTGAACATATGGTCCGCTGGTTACTACCCGGCATCGCCTTATCTTTTCGAAACAAGATAAACCTGTATCGCTAGTATTTTTTTCTTCAGTAAACGAAAAGACACTTAATTTCAAGTAACTAGTAAATTATTAGAAAGTATTCATGCTACGTTTTACTTAAGATACTATATTCTCAATACATAATGAGTTACAGCATTACGAATTTTGAGCCTTATTGAATATCGAGAGTACTGTATCGTAGTCGGTGGTGATGATCCAAAATGGATTATTATTTTATCTTTATTTTAGTACTGCCTTTCTGATCTCTCTGAATCAGTTCCTCTACTGTTCGTTCATATCTTTTTTCTTGTAAACTTTCACATCATTAAACTTTTCCCTGCTGTAATAAGAGGAAGTGAGGAAACTTTGACCGATACAAAAGATTATGAAGTTCTACTTCTTTCTGAGTTTCTGATGTCTATATTGCAAATAGTTTACGAGTCTCACAAACTGTATGCAGACAAATACACGAATAAGTTGGGTTTTAAAGACAACAGAATACTTGTTTCGTATAACTCTGTTACTACATTTAAGTTTCGTTATTAGATGTGTCATACAGTGAAACAGTATTATTTACTGAATAACGTTTTGGACGCTGTCCATTTACTGTCTACATTCAATTCGTCTCCGTTAGCTGAACTGATCCGCACACACCACTGATGAGCTCATTCTTAAACGAACGAAACGGCCCTCCATTGTTTACAACAAATTTACCTAGCTGGCGAACTCAACAGGTCAGCCTGAATGATTTCTAACTACTCAAGTTGCTCAGTAGCATATTTTATGTCAGATAAATAGACAAATTTGCGATATAGCGGATATGGCTGTAATCCTCTCTCCTCCTTCAGGATTTGGGTTGCAGATTTTCTCATAAATTTGGTACAGATTCTGAATCACTCCTATTGCTTGTATTTAGTGTTGATTCGATAGACGAAAATCCGGTTATTAATCTCTTCCTCCACACAAATAAATTAGTTTTCAATACTGTCACTCTGTTCCGTTTCGTTTTAAGTGTTGTATGCAATCACATGTAAGAATATATCCTACTAAATTCCTTATCTCCCATTCTCGATTTAGCTAAACATTCTTCTTAATGCTTCCCAGGTGGTGTCTTTTGCGGTAATAGAGTAGAGGTTTTTAATTCTTTCTCCATAAGTTCATCGTAATTATAACAGTAAGGCAGACATTAATAATAATAATAATAATAATCGGATTTTATTTATCGACTCAACACCAAATACAAGCAATGGGAGTGATTCAGCATCTGTTCCAGATATACTGAAAATTCTACTCTCAATATCCAAAAAGAGAAGAGAGACTTAGAACTATATAAACCATGTCTCAAAATTGTGGAGTTACCTGATATGAATATGGAGGATAAACTGTCCCCGAAATTTTGTCCAGTAAATGAGACTGTTTCACTATGTGGTGTATCTAATAAATCAATCAAAATGGAATTAAGCTGTGCCACAGCGCCGAAGTTTTATTTCAATTTCGACTATGTTATTGTTTGTGATTATTTTTAGGAAATGTCCATAGCTCACTGTTGTAACAGCAACTTTTGTATATGCTTTTTCAAAATTTTACTTACATCCTGGGAACTAGATGTTGGAACAGAATAATTAACTCATGACTTTGGGATGATTACTTCAGTCCGATCGGCCAATAACTATTCATGATCTACACTGGCTGAAATTAAACGACCATACTTCGAATTCATTGACTGATTTTATTTCCAGCACTCTTCAGTCTCAAGAACCAGATGAAACTAGGACAACAGAGCTAGACTCAATATTGAGTTCGGACTAACTGATAGAATAAATGACCAACAGTGGTCATCTGAACTTCGGAAACCGAGTAGCTAGTTAGTGGTGATCTGAAGGCAAACCATCAGGCTGTGGATTTTTGCTACTAACAGTAGGGTTGCACTTTTATCCGCTCAAACAACCTTCTTCAAACGCCATTTCAACCAAAACGGCTTGTTCTTTTTAATCGGGAACCCAAATGCATTATTGAATAAATTGTTTCTATACAGAAATTTCTTCTCTTTGGAACTGCTGAGTATTATTTATTTGTTATTTCGCTAAGACTCACATCACTTTAAGGCAGCACCATATCAATCAACTCAGATTTCATTTTCCCAATTTATATGCATAGGATTACATCATGTGAATAACCTTGTTCTGGAATCAAATCTCAATTGATCTCCAACACTCTTCATGTGCAACAAAAACGTACTTTCAATGTTCTGTAGATTTTTGTAATTTTTTTGCTTCAAATCGTTGCATGTTAAATTTAGTTGTTTATTGATTGACATTTGGTCCTTTCACAGGTTACAACCAACAGATTATCCAAACCAGTAATAAAATTACTCGCTTCTCAAGATTATATAAGTTCGATGGGATATAATGTTCACTGGAATGCAGAAACTACAGATGGTATGGATATCAATCAATATAATATTAATATAAGGCCGGTAGAAATTGATTATTCTATGGGTAAGTTTGTAGCAATTTGTTGCAGAAGGTCTATGATATTTATCTGTGTTAGAAATAAAGTTTTAAACTATCTAATGAGTTTTACATCACATAGTTTCCCAGTGGTGTTCTGGCTTGTCGCATTTTAACATACTCTTGTTTGAGATATTCATAAATTTTGATTCAATTAGTTATGAAATACTGAAAGGAAACCTAGCTAGCACTGTAAACAGTATGGTAGTGACAAAAATGATCATTTAGTTTGCTAGTAGGGACTAGATAACATAATCATTCTGTGGAATTGAATTATTGTGAAGTTCAGAAATCGCAACACTCTTACACTGCATTGTGAGGAAGCAAAGCTCTAATTGGCTCTCATCATTCTCTAAGGATAGAATGTTACTGAAAATGCTGTTGTCAGTATATGTGGTAGATAAGCGTACATTATTGCTCAACTTTTGATATTAATTAACCTTTAAATTATGATAATCAAGAAGATAAATGTATCACGGAGAATATTTGTAGCTCAGGAGGATGATTTTGATAGTGTTTTGTAATCTGCGCTAGATTGTTTAATCGTGGAGTTTTCGTTATCATTTTAGATAACAGCGTCAGCACAAACTTCTTTCTAAATTTTGTGCTGCTGATGAAAGTGAATGACACTAAGGTAGACAACTGTAGAGGAGACGGGAATATCCATAAATTAAATAAAAGTTGACGAAAGTAGTCATAATTTTGACGATGATACAAATTACATAGGTCTATACTACTGTAACTAGTTTCTAGACGAATCACCGAGGATCTTCAGCCATTGGTTCCTAATATTATAAGAACTACAACAACCGGAAAGCTTACATCTTTTTACATGCCTCAAACTAACAGTCAAAGACTCCTTAGACTAGTGTCACGTCTTGGTTTCGCCTTCATTACCTTTACTTCAAACTATTTTAACTTCGGCTGAAATAGAGTGTGTACACGCTCGCCGACTAGCCTGCTTTCCTTATCAGTTACCAGCCGGTTAACCTCAATATTACTAACACGGTTATTTCATAGTACGCGAAAGGTACAGAAAAGACATCAATAATCAGCCAACAGTGGCCGCCTGCCGTTTTCTTCTTTTGACGGTACCTATAAGCATCTGCTGCTGATTTGGTTGGATAATACTGGATTATGTGATTTCTAACTGATGGTTACGAACTAAGTACTGTCATTATGCAGCCACAGCACTTTGACACACGATGATGATTACTAATTACTGACACTACTGCCCAGACTCTGCTGGAAAACTCAGAAGATAAGACTGGGAAGGCAAGATTTATTATTCTGGAAAAGGTGAAAACTAACTGAAAGTGTAGCTGGTTATATAGCTGTTTTCACAACCCAGCTCAGAGAACACAATAAAACGAAGGATGAAGTAGTTTAGCACGCTGATCGCTTGACTTACTTGATGCCTCTTCAGTGACAAAATCTTGGCACAGATCCTGAAAGCTTGAGTGGCTTTTGCCAGTTTAGACCGTCTACGGTACTGGCAAAATATTCGACCACTTATGTAAGGGTTGAATGTACTCCACAGCTATTGGTTGCATCAATATAAACTCTGTTAACAGTGTAATCGAGAACTAGTACTCACTCTTGACACATGCAACTTTAAAAATATTTTTTATGACATATACATAAACATTCAGTCGCAGAGTACTGACAATGCAGTAACCATGACTATATGGAACAAAGACGTACATAAAAGTATGAACGATTTCTCGACGCTAATAATCATGATATCTAGGTCAATAAGCGTCAGCTGTATCACTAACTCGCTGACGAATAAATTAGGTGAAAAATAAATCTGAAGCAAGGTATTACATTACAACAAACAAATGACCAATACCAACTTTCTGTGACCATAAGTTTTCTCAAACGGATATAGAAAATTATTCACGATAGTAGACCATTTACTGCAAATATGAATATTATAGCTGTTAGTACAGATATATTACACATGACACCTCAAAAATAATGCAGAAAATTCGAACGTACAGGTAAGCTAAACACCATCAACAAAAATTTCAGTGATTTTTGAAAACTTTGTAGTGCTGCTTGTATTAATACAAACAATAACAGAAATTATACCCGCCGCACGAGAAAAGGCTTTCGTGAATCAGTGACCTAATAGATAGCGCTCTGGAGTTTGAAGGGATGGGTCCCAAGTTTGAGTCTTAGTGGGAACAATATCACTCACTGCGGGTGGGGGGGGGCGTACATCCAGCTGACGAGTCCCGAATGGGACGAAACACACGTCTGGGCCCCATTACCTGCCACCATCCATCATTACTACAGCCCTTAGAAATGCTTATAAAATCCGTCAGATAACGATTTGTCAAGTCATTGCGCATCAGTTGCAATCTACATAAAACAATTGTAACAGACGTGTAAGCTTGTTGTGGATTTATATTTGTAAGGAAACTATGCATTTAATCCGATTTCAACGCTATGAATATATCATCTACATATTGAAAACATACTTTCAAAGCAGGATTAAATGCATCCACAGCCATCCATTCCCAACTATCCATAAATATCTCAGCCATGATGATGATGCCATAGTTTGTTTTTATATTTTGCTCTGAAACTTAATGATCGTGGAAGTTCACAGGCGGAAGCCAGATTCATGAACCATCGTATATTTAATATTTGATGTCTTAAAAGTCAAATCACTCCAAAATATCTATGTCTACATACCTCACTTCCAACAGACAAGATGAAAGCGCCAGTACAACGTACCAGTAAACTCTGTCTATAAGAAGAAATTCATAGAATATTTAGTACGTCACATAGCATCCGCATCGACATTGAAAGACTATAATGTAAACTGGTGCAAACAGTCAGTGAAAAAGATTATGAACTCCTGGTCAACAACCTTAACAAGGCGAGATCAGGTGCCTTTAGAAGATTGAAGAATACTCAAATAAAGAAGTTCAACAAGCTAATGGAAAAAAAGTATCCGATACAGGATAACGTGATTTTCAGTAGCACATTGCCAGTTATCGATATACCAAAATAGGTTGTCAATCACTTAGCTAGAATTTTAAGCTCAACAGAAGTAAAAGTGCTGGAGAAGGGACTTAACTTCAAAGTAGCAGTTAGTGTGTTGAAACCTGAAGATTCTATTCCTAAAATTGACATAACACTAAGTTCATTAGATAAGGCAATGGGAGATGAGGTGTGATCACAATATGCTCTAACACTTAAGGCATAGGAATAAACGAAACAGAATTTACCAAAAGCAGAAAGAGAAACTTTGAATAACCTTCAGAATATCAACAATATATTAATTTCTAAATCGGACAAAGGCAACTCAACAGTAGTGTTTAACAAATATGGTTACATATAGTAATGATGGATAGTAGCTAGCAGTGGAATCCAAGATGCACATTTTGTCCTATTTAGGACTCGTCAGTTGGATGCACCTGCCTCCCAGTGAGTGATGTTGTTTCCACCACAACTCAATAACGATCGCTTCAAACTCCTGAGCATTATACACTACACCACTAAGCCTCGATAGCCACTCCTTGTGCGATGGGTATAGTTTTAGTATAATTGCTTGCATTATACCGTGGTTGGTTGGACCGAATTGACTGGTCTCTATTGGCAGATGGGCTCCATCATTATTATACATAATTAAAACACAAGCAATATTGAGGCATCCCCACAGGAGCCTGTATACCAAGAGACACCAGTCAATTCGGTCCAACCAACCACGGTATAATGCAAGCAATTATACTAAAACTATACCCATCGCACAAGGAGTGGCTATCGAGGCTTAGTGGTGTAGTGTATAATGCTCAGGAGTTTGAAGCGATCGTTATTGAGTTGTGGTGGAAACAACATCACTCACTGGGAGGCAGGTGCATCCAACTGACGAGTCCTAAATAGGACAAAATGTGCATCTTGGATTCCACTGCTAGCCACTATCCATCTTTAGCATACATAATTAAAACAGGTAATATTGAGGAATCGGCACAGGAGACAATATGCCAAGAGAGACCAATCAATTCGGTCCAGTCAACGACGGTATAATACAAGTAACTATACTAAATATGATTACGTTCAGAAAGCCAGAGAACTCAGAAATAGGACCGTACAAAAAAAATTAAAAGACCAGTGCACACTATTATGAATAAGGTTAAAAAAACCACGCTGGATCTAACACACCACATGAAGCTGTTTCTAGGTGAGTCAAAATGGTTTAGTTTAATGCTGAAAACTAATAATCGCAGTAGAATTTTTATGGTACTAGTAAAATTCCGATAGTAGACTTTAAAAACATTTCCACTTTTGACTGTTTTAAATATTTAGCGATAATATTAGGTTCAGTGAGAAACCGTTCAGAATCGAGAATATCTTATTAACTCTTATGACTTGAAGCATAAATTTGATGACAATGTAAAAAATGGTTAGTTTTGGTGTAGTTACTTTTTTCTAATTATTGTCCTGGTGCGGACTTGACGATGCGGAGGCCAATCACCAATTATTCGTAACTGTTATATACCCTTGAATACGAAAACAGGGAAGAACACAATAGCGTAGCCAGATGGAGTAGTATATTTGCGAGGTCGTACCAAAATACCGATGCATTCCAACTAACTGGCTAGAAAGTAGATTACTAGAAGTGCAGCCTAACAAGACAGTGTGCCGAATGGCGTGGATGCTTGACTGAATGCCTTCAGTCTAGCTAGTCTGATAAAACTATGAAGGTCAGCATCAATGTTGAATGTCGTCGAACCCTAGGCTATTGATTCTGTAGACGTATGTGATGCTTCAATTTGTTTACTAATATACCAATTAGCCCAGCCTTATAAGCAGTTAAATATGAGCTGAATAATGACTATGATCTTGCTCTGCGAACTGAGGTACCAGTAAATGAGATTGTGTGCCCAACTGCCCCAATCTTTAAGTTTCAAAATAAAATATAAAAAAAAAACAGAAGGAGTTTCTATGTTATTTTTATTTTATTTTGTCCCTTGGGTTCCTAGTGGAACATAGGGCTTCAGTAGCGCCTCACCATTGCACTCTCTTCTCAGCAGTCTTTTGAACATGGCTCCACGACTGCCCACAAGCTTGCATTTCTTCCTCACACCATCTCCTCCATGTCACCCTCGCCTCGGACGCCCAACTCGTCATTTTCCATTTAGGTTTTACTCGAAGGCCTGGTGCCGGGTGTCCCCGAATGGGTCTTCTCAGTGTATGCCAGATCCATCTCCACTTTCTTCGGGATATTTGTTGGGTGATGGATTCTTGCTTTGTTGGTTCGTTGCTAGGCCAGAGTTCCTTGTTGCTTATTCTTTCTGGCCATCTGATCTTCAGTATCGGATGAGCGTAAGCGGCAGCTGTTAAGGAATGTCTGCAGTTTGTTGGAAATGCTTTTCGTAATGAGCCACGTTTCTGAACCATATAGAAGCACTGACTTGACTTTAGTGTTAAAATCCGGATCTTGTTCTTTATGCTGAGTGCAGTGCAGTAGATCTACACAGTGGGATCACCAATATCTCCTATCATGGCTGAGATATTTATTAATAGTTGGGAATGGATGGCTGTGGAAACATCTATTCCTACTTCGAAAGTACGTTTTCGATATGTAGATGACATATTCATAGCGTTGAAATCGGAGCACATGCACAGCTGTTGCAGGTTTTCTACCAAAGTTACTTTGACACGACGATTAACTTAATAAGATATGAAAAACAATCCCCCATATTATAGTTACCTGGTTTTGCATGGTAATCCTCAAGTGAAATAATTAATAAATGTATAATCGATTTCATCTATGGCAACTCAATGCAGTTCTTATCTGCCTAGATATGCGAACTCATTCATTACGAAAAACACGTATTATTTTTTGTTTCGAACAGTCTTTTTGCTATTGGTGTCGCATGACTTAACATTGAAACCTTTTAAACAACCATGATAAATGTGTACGTTACATTTACGAAGAATAATAAAAAACAATGCTGTTTCGACAGAAATAACGCAAATTAAACGAAAAGTAATCGACTCTTACCATGCATTATAATATAATGAAACAACTAAGACCGTTTATTAGGGTAGGGAAAAAATCAAGGCTGACATCATTCTAATAATTGGAAAATTTCAAGCTGCATCCTAAATGTCACATGATCTCAAGAGACATCGATCGGTTTATAGAGTGAGCCAAAAGGTTCTGCTAAATAATCGGCCAATCACATCAGCAACCAACTTCTTACTTTTGCTCAGGTCATTCACACACACATCAAAGGGATAGAAAAATTTAGACGATCACAGAAATGGAATGATACACAGTAATGCGGAATGTGGTCTTTTGCTAATTAAGGTAAAAGAAGTAAAACAGCCACTGAGTTTGCAAACCTGGCTTGACTCATATGGTCAATCTGTGTACGCATGCATAGTCAGCGTCTACCTTAAGGAAGAATATCAGCTGAAGTAGAAAGTCAAAGGTGGCAAGGCTAATACGTGGTGTGAGCTCATGAGTTCGTTATTTATTATGAGTGAAAATACTACCGGTAAGTTATTCTTATCACTTCTTTCGCCGTCACCGAAACTGTGGGTTGATGAAAGATGTTATCTAATAAGGAATTTATTACTCAGTTGAAGTTAGGTATCTTATTTGCCATACGGTTTTTAAACTATACATTTAGGATTAGCAAAATCTCCTATGCAATGTATGGATGACGCATAACTTGGAATGGAGCACAGTGGGAACAGTAAACCTTTTGAAGTCTATTAAACGCAAGCTACAATAAGCTTTGTTTTCAGAAGTTAACTTAGTTTGTAATCTGATTTTTAAATACATATTTATTTAGGTGAGATAGCCGGACGTCCTATTGGGTCTTGGACTCACTATAATAACATTGAACCTAATTGTGCTGTGTCAGGACTTGAAGGCCAAAAGATATGCAATTTTCTTATTGATGATTTAAAACCTGATAGTGCCTACGAATTGGAATTGTCTGGACAAAATTCAATGGGCTTTTCGGAAACACAACGAATTATATTCAGGACATCATCACTGACTGGTGTGAATGGACGTATACTAAATATGCCATCGACTATGAGACTAACCGGAATATCTACTCATATTCAAATCGAAAAGGTTCGCTCATTTTTATTTCTACCATTGTTCTGAATTTCAATCTTATGTATAGTGGGTTAACTTTCCAGTTATAAAAAAATAGGCCACAAGTCTAATAGGAGCAGGTGAGTTTCGGAAAACTTTAGCGCAAATGACTGTACAACGTACTGATTTCCTTTCCATCAGAAAAAATATTATTTGAGATTTTCTCAAGTGATTTATGTCAAATGCTTCATTTTCAACTTCATCCTGTTCATTTATTTGTCTTCTTGTCAAAGTGTACCCATTTCTTGTATTCTTTAAATATTTACATCTCCAAATTATTTTATTATTATGAATTTCATTCTCGACGTCTCATTTGATTCTTCATCTTCACATTATATCAGATTGTCAAATGCATGGCATTTACATCATATTATCCTTTTCTCCAACTACACTTAGATAGATTTTAATTATTCAAATTCCACTTATTCAACTCAGAATTCGTCCATTGTACTTACTCATTTGCCTAGTCATATAATACGTCAAGAATAATCATTGTTTTGTTTTGTCCTTAGATGTATTGTGATTGGAAAAACTCCCGAATAAAAATACTTACATTCCTCATTTTAACACTATTTATTTTCATTATATAACCTATACACGCACGACTCATTATCTTTTCACTTATTAACTCGAACTGATGTGACTTTATTATTTTTCTTCATATTACTACTACTTTTTATTATTGCTGTTGCAAATATTTACTATGAAAATTATAATGATTATATTATTGGAATGTTTTATCAGATCATAAACTAAATTTCTTATGAGCAAAAACGTACCCTTGTATACAGTAGTTTCTAATCGGTTAGAAATGCTTATAATGAATCCGCAGAGGTGACGTTTTTAAGTACATTTTATACTGAATTTGAAATGTGACCTGTTTCAGAACCAAAGTCAAGCTTGCAGTCTGATGCTTTTACAAAGTGGTTAATCAACTAAGCTACAAAGTTCGATTGCTGTCGGAAAAAAGCCAGTGTTGTACAAACGGAGAAAGTCTGAATTCACTTTCTACTTTTATTTCAGTTTTCATCATCATAGGTACTTCACAGCCTACCGACAGAAGTTACTACTAAAAACCTATTACGTAACTGTAATCCCTTTAGATCATACAGTAATATGACTGTAGTTTATTCAAATAGCTGAAAAGCGTCCAAATTTCAATACTACCACCATATACGAGTCGTCAAGCGTAAAACTTCAGAAGGCCTAAGACGTCTTCTTGTTGCCACTTATTTTCATTATATGATCGTCTGTTGTTGACGTTGTTACCATAACAAAAGTTCACAACAGATATTTTTAAAGGCACTCTCATGTGGATGAGACAAAGCATCTGTTCAAGTATTCTTGTTGCCTCCAAAGTACTGTTTACGGGAGGTATGTTTTGAAAGGGACCCTAGTATTTTTTAGTGGATTTTCGTATGGGGTTTTTGATCTATTAATACTGTAGAGATTAATATGCATGCACATTATTATATTTCAACTCCACTGAATATTTAGCATTTTGAGGATTAGGAGAGAATTTATAACATACAACCATTAGCAAGTTTTGCAAAAGGATAGTAAAATATCGTAAATAAGTTTCAGTCACGCAATTTAGCCCTTCCAAACTCATGTAATACAGTCTTATGCAAAATTCAGAAATCTCAGTTGTCCGTGTATACAACTAGAATTCCTGTACATAACGCACATTTTAGAGAGATCAAACAACCGATTTTATGCACAAAAAAAATGAAACAGTATACAATAATCGATTTCACTCAAAAGGCAATTATTCTCTGAGTTAAGCAGAAATGAGTGCGTGGTCTATCAAAAGCTCTTGAGAGGATCTATGTAATGTTGTTGCCAGTGAGGTACCTTTTCGAATAAGTAAAAGAATGAGATGGACAATAACCTGATATTCAAGTTGACCATTTAGCTTTGATACCAAACTTAATCATTTCTTCAAGGTATCTCAGCTTTTGTGTACCCTAATTGGCTTGTCATAGCCGAAGATGTCGTCACAAGGGATATTTTACTTGTTAACACAAGATTTTGCTATCCATTTCAGTGCCTGGAACCTACTTTTTAAATGATCACAGATAAGTATAGAGAAATGTAATGATAAAAACAGAGGCTCTAAACGAATGGCTTTTAAAAGCAATCGAAGAAAAGATGTAGAAGGAAAACATCTCTATGCTGACCTACTTTTGGACATTCTCAATAAACATTTTGAAAAGTGGAGTAATTCCAGTTAGGCGAGAAAACAATTCACGTCACTTTTCGAAGCAAATCGTACACAATAAAGGTGAATCAAAAGAATAGTAACTAACATCCATCTATTTTCCGGATAAGAGCTGTTACGGTGTACAATAAGATTGTCCATGTTTTTCGAAGAATCTCTTATTCTCTCTCGAAGTCCATCACTATACCCAGAATCCACTTAGAGAATGTGTGTGGAATATGTGGATAAAATTTGGGATAACATGTTGTTGCATGCATGAATGGTGAAAACCTGGTCGAAATATTGGTTGAATGCAGTATTTTCTCCAACTGCCTTTTTTCGGCAGGATCGCATGAACACATTTTAAACCCTAACGCTTTCCCACTTCTCTAATGCAATTTCTTTCTTATATTTCAACATACCCTGCATTTTTAACTATATTTTCTTCATTATTCCCCTTTTTCAAAGAACCCTTTAGTTTCCCATGTATTCGTTATTTTTATGCACATATCTCCCAAATCATACTACTACATTTATCTCTAGTTATATGAAAAAAGTGCTTGCAATCATAGTAATAATGTATTTTAATAGCAATGATATGAATTGGAGCTTTAGAATACAATTTGCCAATAAAAAGTCACTGCAAGGAATGTACAATATGTAGATTAATACGGAAATTCCTATTACCCGCTGAATTTAGTTATCATCTGAAATTTCCTTTGTACTACAATTCAATACCGAGTGACTTCTAGCCGCCTCCTTGTTTACAATCAAACTGTCAGAAAAAAAAAGAAAATCCACTAGATGGCATTCACCACTGTTTGTTGAAGTTTAACTGAATTAAATGAGAATAATTAAATGAAAATTCTAAATGCAATTATGTGGCTTACTGGGCCTAAGGGAACGCCGTTCACTTTCTTTCGTACCCTTCGGTTATGAAATCAGTTCTTGCTGGCTTCAACAACTGCTTTTACAACTTCTTCACCATTTTTACCCAGTCACTTTGTCTTTTTCATTTATGCTACCGAGAATTTTGTCATTAAAACCCATCCTTCTGTGACTGCAAAGATATTCATATATCAACAAGTCTTCTAACCACCTCCAAGCGCATTCAGTAAATACAATCGATAGGAAGTTATTGCACTGTATCAGTGGACTGAAACACTACAGTCGGAGTGGTTATCACATTTTTAGTTCTTAATGTTTCTTAAGTTCTATCAACAGCATTAACATTCGAATAAATCATTCATCTTTTGGTATAATGTGCCAGAACACATTCCTTCTTTACAAGTGCGAGTCATTGTAAATATGATATGCAATCTGGCAGGTTTGTCGTATATGATACGTTGCAGTTCGAATGATACTTACCAACTGAATTCCGTACGCACAATATCTGCTATGTATGGTCCTACCGACTCCCGAAAAACTGGTGGCAAAAGCGTAACGAGCTTGCTTGGATTATGAGGTACGCCATAAATTCTCATAAAAAACACTTCAACACTCAATGGATGCACTAAGCTACCTAATTTTGGTCACACATTTTGAGTGTTCCTACTGAATGGTAACAAATAATCGACATAAGGCTGTAATCTGAGGCTAATAGAAAGGTTACATTATACCAACAATAAATAATCGGAAGAAGGAGGGTTTCAAAACCATATACCAACTAGTATCTCCAACCAAGCATTTGGAGTCTTCAACAAGTACTGAATATTAGTAGGTCATCGAGGAAAATGACATTTAGCTGTGCAAAATTATCTTACAGTCTTCTGGAGACGCGTCTCTTGTCAAAATAACTTTTAGCGCAGATCTCTTGACGTTTTTTTTTATTTCGAATCCTGATTCCTCACTAACGTTTTAATCGTTTCTCCAGCGTTGTAAGGAGCATCTGGCAATAAAAATATTGGCAACGGTGCCAGAATGGTAGTTTCTAAGTAAAAATACATGGTATTCATGTGAAATATATGGAGAAATTAATATTGCGGCAGTACATGCAGGTTTTCCTATGTGCGAATGAATGCTTTTTTGATGAGCGCTAGTGGTGTGACAAGCAACAATGACGGCTCCATTAAGATAATCTAGTATTCCATCCATATTTTCTTTCTTCTTTGTGACCAGTGCCAAGAGGACTACAGAAGCTCATCAACAACCGAAATTTTGAAGTATCTAGAAGGAAATCCTACATCTCGAGCATCTACTACGCCAGGATGTCACATTAAATGAATTATTATTATCAAACTTCTGTATTAAGTCACACACAAAAGATTCAACTTACCGATTAGACACTTTGTTGAAATGAGTTAAACAAGGGTACAAGCGTATAAGGAAGATATCAGCTGCCTAATCTGCAAGAAAATTGTGTGGACCAGTGTTAATTTTTTGTGCTTAACTTTTCTGGTGTAAGTTGATTCTTGTTTTTTTCCAGACACTGTAATGAATTAAAAATACTCAGTTGGGACGACGGACACTGCGGTTGAAACTTAAGCTGAAGGACATAGGTTTCTGTAGACCTTGTATTATTATTTATTACTAGAGTACAAAATTTGCACATCATGGGTCCCAAGAGATGCACCATATAAAATACTAAAGTAACAATATAAAGACACATGAAATGGTAGACCGAATAGAAACAAAAGCAGAAGTGAGTTATTAAAAGAAGTAGTTTCAAAGTTACGTTTAAAGAGGCATTTACTACTTTCATCTTACTTATCAGTGATAAGAAAAAGAATAGTACAACATTCTATGCTAGATTAGTCCGCTAGATGGAACACAGTGATATAGCATCATTGACTTAAGGAACGCCCTAACG